GAAAGTCCTCCTTCACACAGCGTAGATAAAGTATGGCACTCCACCAGGAGGCAGCGATGGCCACCAATTCATATGGCTTGGGGGGGGATTGCTCACAAATTCATGGAGGAAATAGTTATTGATGGCTACTAGCCATAATGGTTATATTCTATCTCCACAGTTGGAGGTAGCAATTCTTCTGAATATCAGATTCAGGAAACCTCAGGAGGGGAGAGTGCTCTTGTGCTCAGGTCCTTGTGCGGGTTTCCCAGAAAAAGTATCTGGTTGGCCAGTGTAGAAACATGGTGCTGGAATAGATGTGGGTGTCTTCATCTTAACATACTGAAAATAATATAAAGCCAAGTATGTCCCTGATTAGTTGGAGAGTCTGACACCAACTGTGACTGGAGAAGTGAGAAGATGTGCTGGTGTGCTCAAGAGATTTCCCAGCAGCCCCTTGTCTTACCTGGAGATGCTGGGGATTGAACCTATGACCTTCTGGAGGTGTGCAAAACATGCGCTCTCCTACTAACCCAAGAAGTTCATCCAAGTTGTAGCATGCAGCTTTCTAATAAAGCTGCAAGACAGTTGCCTGTAATTGCTCCCTTTTGTAATCCATGCAGATTGCAGCTTTCTGGCTGTTGACCTCCAATGCACTGATGTCAAGGGAGGATCAGTAGCCACGGTTGTAGCCATTCCCTTTGGTGTCACATCATCTAGATTGGCATAAGGCCTTCCTCTCTTGTTCCCCTCCCCTTGCGAGAGAAAAGATAATCAGAGAGTTTAGTTCACTTCCTCCTTCTCTCTCACTCTGCCATGCTGCTCCTTGCATTCTTCTTTCAGAATTGTAATGTTTTGAGAAGCAGGAAGCTATTTAGTAGACTTTCTTGGGAAGCAACGAACCGTATTATGAACTCCCAGGTTGAGGGTGCTTTTATCTCTCAGCATAAAGGACACCCTGTCAAGCAGACGAGTAACTGATCTTTCCTGGAGGAAAATCATCATCATCAGGAGGAGGAGGAGGAGGCAGGGAGCCAGGCCCAATGGTGACACAAGCAGTCACATGTGAAGGGGTTCTTTACTGCCAGAGTCCCTTGCTAGGAAATGATAGACAAGGGGAGAGATTTATTATACCTAGCAGAAAACATAAAGTAGTAGCTCCTTGTATATTTCCCCATGATGTTACCCCTATTTATTTTATTTATGCTTCGCCATCTTCGCAGTCTTCTTCTTAATTGAGACAAGGATTAGCATGGGTGGGATGCATACAGAAAAAGACACACAATAACATTAGGCTTGTTCGCACATTACATGGAATACAGATACAAGCTGTTTCTGAACCCATAGAAATGCTTGTGTGAAATAGCACGCACATATTGGGTTGTATTGCTCGTCAGTCATGAGTTTCCATAGGTCATTGGACTGCAGCTCCCATTGTCCCTAACAATAGGTTACGACGGCTGGGGATGGTGGGAATTGCATCAACATTTGAGGGCCCAATGTTGAAGAATTCTGGTGTGCACGGGTGCACAGGCTGTGCAGTCATCGAATGCCACATGTGAATAACTTTAGGGGTGTTATTTATCCCCAAAGGTAGCAAGCAAGCAAGGAAAATCCTCCACACTGTGTGTGTGTATTTCAGGCTTTAACCTGTCTCAGTGATTGGCTGAAGGAATCCTCAAAATACAAACTCAACGTGTGGGCAGGGCATTCAGAGTAGTTCTGAGGAACCTCAAGTCTGAGAATTGAATGCGCCCCCTGCAGGCCTCTCTTGGAAATATGCTCAGGCCACACCCTTAACTGGCCCTACTTCACAGCTGCCTTTGCCTGGCTGAAATGTGACCTTGAATAATGCCTTTGGCTGGTGCGTGAGATGATGTGCAGAAAACGCCTACTCTTTACCCCTTGCCCCACCCACCACTGGCCTGTGACACACATGTCAAAGCTTGCCCAGTAGAGATGTGGCCCTCAGGAAGATAAAGCTTTCTCACCCCTGGTGTGGTGGGAAATTCAGGTCACCAGGGAATTGAGGAACCTACCTATGAGGGAAAGTTGCGGTGTTCGCGGGGGTTGGGTGGGTGTTAGTTTTGAGAAAAGGCAAGTGAGAGGCAACATGATAGAGTTCTCCAGAATTATACCTAGGATGGAAAAAGTGGATAGAGGAAAAATGTTTCTCCCTCTCTCACAGTACTTGAACTCATGGGTGTCTAATGAAGTCAAATGTTTGAGGATTCACGACAGACAAAGGAAAAGACTTCTTCATGCAGCACAGAGTTAAACTATGTAACTCATTCCCACAGGAGGCAGTGATGGGCACCAACCTGGAAAGCTTCAAAAAAGGATTAGACACATGTAGGGTAAGGCCAGCAATGACTACTAGCCATGATGGCTATGTTCTCCCTCCACAGTTGGAGGCAGTAGTGCTTATGAATGCCAATTGCTGGAAACCACAAGAGGGGAGAGTGCTATTGTGCTCAAATCCTACTTGTGGGTTTCCCACAGGCATCTGTTTGGCCACTGCGAGAACAAGATACTGGACTAGAGGGGCCATCAGCTTGATCCAGGAAGGCTCTTCTTATGTTCAGGTCCAGAACTATTCACAGGTTTCTGTGGCAACACTAAGACCTTGAACTGGGCCCAGGGACAACCTGGCCACAAGTGTAGCAGCTGCAGTCTCCAGGCAGTCTTGAAGAGAAACCCCTTGAAGAGTCCCAGATTACTATTTGCTTCCCATAATTTGAATTATCAGATACTATCTCCATATATCTGTTTTCCAGCTTGTTTGTTGTCTGTTCCTGCCCAGGAGGTAACCACTTCCTCGAGTGTCTCACTTTGTTATAAGATTTATCATGCACTGTTGACCCTTGCAACAGTACAGGTATTTAGAATCATAGAATCATAGAATCATAGAGTTGGAAGAGACCACAAGGGCCATCGAGTCCAACCCCCTGCCAAGCAGGAAACACCATCAGAGCACTCCTGACATATGGTTGTCAAGCCTCTGCTTAAATACCTCCAAAGAAGGAGACTCCACCACACTCCTTGGCAGCAAATTCCACTGTCGAACAGCTCTTACTGTCAGGAAGTTCTTCCTAATGTTTAGGTGGAATCTTCTTTCTTGTAGTTTGGATCCATTGCTCCGTGTCCGCTTCTCTGGAGCAGCAGAAAACAACCTTTCTCCCTCCTCTATGTGACATCCTTTTATATATTTGAACATGGCTATCATATCACCCCTTAACCTCCTCTTCTCCAGGCTAAACATGCCCAGCTCCCTTAGCCGTTCCTCATAAGGCATCGTTTCCAGGCCTTTGACCATTTTGGTTGCCCTCCTCTGGACACGTTCCAGTTTGTCAGTGTCCTTCTTGAACTGTGGTGCCCAGAACTGGACACAGTACTCCAGGTGAGGTCTGACCAGAGCAGAATACAGTGGCACTATTACTTCCCTTGATCTAGATGCTATACTCCTATTGATACAGCCCAGAATTGCATTGGCTTTTTTAGCTGCCGCGTCACACTGTTGGCTCATGTCAAGTTTGTGGTCAACCAAGACTCCTAGATCCTTTTCACATGTACTGCTCTCAAGCCAGGTGTCACCCATCTTGTATTTGTGCCTCTCATTTTTTTTGCCCAAGTGCAATACTTTACATTTCTCCCTGTTAAAATTCATCTTGTTTGTTTTGGCCCAGTTCTCTAATCTGTCAAGGTCGTTTTGAAGTGTGATCCTGTCCTCTGGGGTGTTAGCCACCCTCCCAGTTTGGTGTCATCTGCAAATTTGATCAGGATGCCCTTGAGTCCATCATCCAAGTCGTTGATAAAGATGTTGAATAAGACCGGGCCCAAGACAGAACCCTGTGGCACCCCACTAGTCACTCTTCTCCAGGATGAAGAGGGACCATTGATGAGCACCCTTTGGGTTCGGTCAGTCAGCCAGTTACAAATCCACTGAGTGGTAGCATAGTCAAGACCGCATTTTACCAGCTTCTTTACAAGAATATCATGGGGCACCTTGTCAAATGCCTTGCTGAAATCAAGGTAGGCTACATCCACTGTGTTCCCTTCATCTACCAGGCTTGTAATTCTGTCAAAAAACGAGATCAGGTTAGTCTGACATAACTTATTTTTCAGAAATCCATGCTGACTATTGGTGATCACCAATAGTGATCACCAATAGCTGACTATTGGTGATCACCATTTAGTGTTGGCACACTATGGCTGAAGCAATAAATCATTGGATAGGAGGGAAACATCCGTTCAGAATAAAGAATTTAACATTATGTGATTTGGGGAAAGAAAATAGAGCCCTGTTCGATGCCATGACAAAGCTCACCAATAACACAATAATAAATTCCATACTATTATTGCCGGGGATGAACTGGCTGAAGATACACACTGGGATACAAACACACATGGGTTGAAAGACACCCTTGAGTCAAAATGGTACATATTGCTGGGAAGAACAGGAGGTAGAGCAAGACAAAAATCAAAGCCAATATTGCATACAACCTTTTGCTGTAATTGATGGATATGGATTGTTTTGAATAAAATTTTTATTATGTCAATTGTGTGTGTGTTTTAGGAAAGGGAATGGGATACATATATTTAAATAAATGCATAAACATGTTACGAGGCTCTATGTAAATCGATGGCACCCCCCTGGTCACCAGGAAGTTGTGTTTAATCAGACTTGGCCACACACTGCAGGGGGACTGAAAAGCAAAATGTGAGCAAGTGTGAGTAATTTTAACAAATTAAGTACCATAGCATGGGGGCATTTTTCAGCATCATTAAAAATGTCAAGAAAGAAAGAAAGAAAGAAAGAAAGAAAGAAAGAAAGAAAGAAAGAAAGAAAACCATCTTGATTATTTTATATGCAGGACTGTTGGCATGTACACACACACATACACACAGAACTACTCACACACCTGCAATCTGGTACCGCACTCCAGAAACAGATTACCCACATGATGAACTGTTTTGTGATGACACTTCACATTTGTATAGTGCTTTCAAGTACTCAAACTGCTTAGCTCAGTGGCAGAACATCTGCTTTGTATGCAGAAGGGCCCTGTTTCAATCACTGGCACCGACAGGTAGGACTGGGAAGGGCTCCTGTATCAAACTGGAGACCTAGGCAGGGCTCAGGAAGATTCCCTACCTGAAACCCTGCAGAACCAATGCTAGTCAATCTCAACAATACACCTGATGTAAGGCAGATTCCTATGTTCCTACCATAGCAGTTCCTGATGGGGTCAGGGAGGTAATAAAATCCAAGAAATTGCTGTGAGTTTTGTTTGTGAATGTTTCCCCCTCCCACCTCCAAAATCATTCAGTTGTATATTTCGAACTGTGTTGAAATTCTGCAAGTATTACTATTTTTGTAAGCATTTATTTGTTCTTTCTTCATTTCCCATTGACTGTAAGGGGGGGTAATTGAAATTAGTTCCGCCGCTGTGTCACTTTCATAAGGTATTAAAGAATGCAGAGATCCCCAATGAACTTAATTTTTTAAAAATCATTTTCCTTTTACCCTGGCTGGGGAAAGAGTCAAATTTTTAAATGCAATATGACATATGGCTGTTCATTATTTATACATTCTGTATCAGACTATAAATTCTACTTTGGACATATATCGAAGAGCTGAAGCTATTTCAGTTACAAACACATAAATCATAGTTACGGTTATTAGTCTAAATGCAATGCCACCCAAGTTCTAGATCAAAACCTTTAAAATCCATTATAATTGACGGTTGCTGCATAACTTAGGTCTGATTTTATGAAAGGGGTTCATTATTATTGATATCTTTGAAACATTTTTATTTCTAGCTGTGAGAAAAAAAGTTAAAGGTGAATGAGTGGTTGCTGGAGAGTGTGGGGAGAAATTGCTATTTATTTATTGAATTTAATCTTTTCTGTCTTTGACAGTGAAATTGCATGAGGATAACTCATTGGCGGCTGGGGCACACTGGGACTGCCAACAGTAGGTGGCACCTCAGCTAATAATAATAATAATAATTTATTTATTTATACCCCACCCACCTGACTGGGTTTCCCCAGCCACTCTGGGCGGCTCCCAAAAGAATATTAAAATTATGATAAATACATCAATCATTAAAAACTTACCTAAACAGGGCTGCCTTCAGATGTTTTCTAAAAGTCAGCTGGTTGTTTATTTCCTTGACATCTGATGGAAGGGCGTTCCACAGGGCAGGTGCCACTCAGGGGCGGAGGAAGGTGTGTGTTTTGGGGGTGGTTTGCCCTGGGTGTCACCACTGAGGGGGTGACAAAATGCAAGGCAGCACTCACCATGGGGCCTGCAGTGTGCGCAAGCCATGAGTGTCTCCTGGGAGTGACACAGTGGTTTGGGTGCTTGCAGGCTCCGTGCTGCCCCAAATGGTCTGCCCACTGCCTCCCCCTCAGCTGTAGGGCGGCTGAGTGGGAGGAGGCAGGCAGACTCCTTGAAGGCCCTGCGGAGCATCCTGCCCCAGCTTGCCCCACCCCATGGGCGGCTGCCCCACCTCTGGGCGCAGGGCATGCACACCTCCCCAGGCACCCGATCGGCTTGCTCCACCGCTGGCGCCACAACTGAGAAGGCCATCTGCCTGGTTCCCTGTAACCTCACTTCTCAGGCTGAGTGATGGCAGTGGAGACACTCCTTGAGGTATACTGGGCCAAGGCCGTTTAGGGCCAACTCATTCTTGTTTATCCACATCCTCTTCCCTGCTGAGTTCTACAAGGACAATACTGAGACTAAGAGGGAGGTCCACAGGCACTACCACCACTTGGACGGGTGCAAATAAGAAAGCAGGCAGGTGAGGGCAGTACCTCATTTGTCCTAATCAGTCACCCTCCACTGCTTCTGCCGTCTTTGAAAATGTTGTGAGGTTTGGCTGCCCCCAAAGAATTCTGGGAGCTGCAGTTTGCTAAGGGTGCTGAGAGTTGTTACAAGACCCCTATTGTCCTCATAGGAGTGGTTTAACAGCCATTCCTTCTTCCCAGGAATTTCTGGGAGCTGTAGCTCTGTGAGGTGAACAGGGGGTCTCCTAACAACTCTCAGAATCCTTCACAGTTCCCAGGATATGACTGTCCAAGTGATACCACAGTGCTTTAAATTTATAGAGTAGGTGTAGTTGGTGAAATTTGGAAAAATGGGTGAAGGTTACCTGCTGTATGGTTCGGCATAGCATGGTGAGCTAGCATGGTAAAGTGCTAGTGGTTTGCTCTGCTTACTTGTATCTCTACAAGGTTCACTTTTAAGACCAGAAGAACTGTACAGGCAGTCCCCATTGACACGTGTTCAATATGTGTGCACCCATGTATACAAGCATAATGATGAACCCGGAAGTGACCTGGAAATGTCATAAAGATGTCACTGAAACATCACTAAAAGGTCAGAATGGGGATAGGAGGGGACGGGGCAGGGGCGGAACGGGGTGTTTGCAGGCTTTTTTTTTCTTTCAATTTTTTTTATTGATTTTCCAGAATTTTTAAAACAAACATAAATCTTAACTGTACTTAATCCAATCTTAGTAACATTGTTAAGTGACTTCCTCGAGTCCTCCTGGCTGAGTTTCAGTGTATATCATTGCAGCAGTTTTCCAAAACCAAATTTCTCATAAACGAGGTGTTTGCAGGCTTTTTAATGGGTTTCAATTACACGTGATTTCACTGACATGTGCTGTGCCTCACTGTGCTAGTTGGCCCTAGCAGGTTAGGCGACAACTGATTTCTACAAGCCATGACAGATGTGGCCTAGGTGTACGCGGCTTCAACACTTTCCCTTTCCCTTTTCTTCCCTTTCTTTCCTTTTTTCAGGTCTTATGAAAACTCTCTTTTTTTGTTTTACTCGGAGAAACTCTGCAAGTTGTGAGCAAATGTAATTCAACCTGGGGGTATGATTGGTGCTGAATTTTGCCTAAAGAGAAATTCTGAAATGAATCTGGAGGTTTTTCTGCTTCAGAAGAACAGTCGGGACATTTCAAGGCAAGCAAAAAGCTTTCATGAGTCAAGTGAAATTTCCCCAGGGTTTTTACACGCATTCCAGGTTCTATAAAATGCCACATAATAAGAGCCCTCCTGAATCAGAAAGACCCATCTAGTCCAGCATCCTGCTCTCACAGTGGCCAATCAGGTCCCTCCAGGAAGCCCATGGGCATGGCATGAAGTTGAGAGCGCTCCCCCTTGCTTTTATTCATAAGAACATAAGAAAAGTCCTACTGGATCAAGCCAAGTGCTCATCTAATTTAGCATCCTGGTCAACCAGATGCCTATGGGAAGCCCACAAGCATGCTCTGAATGCATCAGCACTCTTCCCACTACAATAGCATATGCCTCAACCAACGATGATTTGAGCTCACACCATCATGTTCAAAGCCAGCATCTTTAGGCTGCCACGTCCCTTATTTTATTTTGGAAATCTTTGATGAAGCCATAGTTTGCTCTTTTTCGGACCATGGAAAAGATTAAAGCACTGATTATGTCTGGCCAAAAATGAAAGGAGACCGTGAATAAGAATTTGCTCTGTACTAAAATAGTTTGATGTTAATCTTGGCTCTTTCAGTTCCAGTAGTACAAGGTCATGGTACAAAACTTGCTAGTCTAATTCAACAAGATAGAAAAAGATGCGTCTCCTGAGCCCAATCAAGGATCTAAAACAGAACTTCAAAGGGATCCCTGAGTCAGAGGCTCTCATGTGCTGTAGCTACAGGTTTGCCAACTGGAAGGCAAAAGGACTTTAAGGCTGGGCTGTTCAAGAGCTAGATTATAGCAGAGCTCTTCCCTGCTTATGAATTAAGCCAGAAATGTAGGCAAGTATAGGAATGCCACCCCCAGAATACAATGGGGGCATATTTACCACACCCAAAATCCCCTGAGAAGAAGGCTCCTGTTGGCCTTACTCATCTGGGGGATGATCACATGATCACTTAGCCAATAGGGAGTGAGGAGTCATCCAGGCTTCATTAGCCAGCTTCTCCCACCCTCCCCACTTATCTATCATGGGCTTCTGCTAGCTATATGTTGAAGGGGCCAAGTAGGAATTGTGGGGCGTGGAGCTTAGTTGGCTGTGGGACTCCATATTTTCACCTACTCCATACTGCTGGGAGCTGCCCTCCCTGGAGTGGCATTTTTGTTAGATTATTTCAATTGGGTCGCCATCCAGTCAGAAAAGACAATTTAAGATCTGGTTGGGTATTATCTGTGGCATTAGTGGGTTACAGGCACTCTTGGGTCACCCAACGCAAGACTGCTTAGGAATCCAAGGGGTGTCTTTTAGACATGGCATGTACATCAGGGTGAACGCCAAACTAGCAGGGCCATGTGTCCCTTTCGGGTTATATACCCAAAGCTCTCATTGCAAGGAGAAAGGATTCCTTCCAGTCCTTTGCAACAGGGCCACAGGCTAGGCTTGTTGACATGTCCAGAAGTAGTGAGGGGGAAAACGCCACCCATCCACCCCACTGAATCAGGGAACTTCCTTGCCAAGATTATGTTTTGTTTAGTTCAGTTGGGTTGTGTCAGGGAACTGACATCGGAGCTAGAGGCGGAGGGAAGGCTCTCAAATGATGCTGGAGAAGGGCCCAGCAGGGAGAGAGGCAGCTCAGCAGATGGGGAAGCAAATCAGCGCAACACCAGGCATAAAGGGGGGCAGATGGGGGAATCGGTGAGAGGGCTCCAGGACTCTTCACCGGACACCAGCGGGGAGAGCACGGGTCCTCCGCTACCCACGCCCTCCCTGCGCAGAAGACTTCCACGCAGGGAGAGTAGGAGGAGACTTGGCGTCAAACAACTTTTATGTTGGAAAAGGTTTAAGAAACGCCCACTGACGGATTCTGCTAGCGACTGAGGCAGCCACGAAGTGAAGGGCTGCCCAGACTGAAAGGTTTAACAAGGTAACATAGCCAGGAGAGGCGGCAACTTACGCACGAGCAACCCATACTCATTACAGGTTGTTTAGTGTTTGCAGATCTTTCAAGTTGTTATATTCAGGGCTAGCCCAAGACATTTTGGCACCTGAGGTGAACTGCAAAATGGTGCCCCCTGGGAGCAGGGAAGAAGGGGTGGGCCTGCTTGCTTGTCACTGGGCCCAGTTCA